CTTCGCTGCTGATGATGTGTGTGTGTGTGTGGGTGTCATGTGTGTTTGTCGTGTGTGCGCATCTGATGACCAAAAAGTCTTTTTGTTTTTCACATCTCATGAAAAAACACGGTTTTGAAGCAAAACGGGCACACCACTGAGCAAAAACCTCACAAAACATGTAAGTTCAACAAATTTTAACACGAAGCGGCGCAACACTCAGGCTCAGGACAAAACTTAAGTCTAGCAAAGCCGGCTCACCGCTGAATAACAAAAACGACGTCACAAAAAAGTATGTTCCACACTCCATTCACAAAAACGTCGGGGGCAGGCTTTTTTTTGCTGACCTTCTGGAGCTTTTCATACTCTTGTCTTCCTGAGGACTTCATCCTGTAGTGGGGTCCTTGGTCCTCGACGTCGTCGTCATAGACGCTCCAAAGTTCGTCATCAGCACCCTTAACGACACAGCCACGAATGGGTTTGCTGCTGCCACCAGGTTCATCATCCTCAGCCATTTAGATTTTCAAAACCTATTTAATCACAAAAAAATAAGTCAAGGCACTCGTCCTCGTGGGCGCCCCCATTCTTCCTCCACAATGTTGTTTTGCCGGTCCCATCCCAATTGCTTCAACCTTAAGCGGCATCGTCTTGTCAAAATTGAAATTTGCAAAATTGAAACATCTTATTTCGACTAATTGGCAACATCCAAGCGGCTCGTAACCCCACCAATTAGTCGTCCTCCATCGTCTGATGTAGGTTTCGTTGATCACGTGCTTCGTCACTGGCGCCGTCATGGCTGGAGTCCAAGTTACAGCGGTAAGTCCGATGAGCTACAGCGGGCACAGCCTTGAACCTCTAATTTCAGAGCCGGCCCCACGTTTAACAAAAACGACTCACACGAAAACAGCTGCAAGCCCGTCCAATGATAACAAAATATCATTCAAAACCCGACACAAAACAGCTGCAAACTGCTCCATGATTTTCATGCAAACCTGGCTTAGTTTGTCATGGTTTATTTGTCATGCAACATTGACATCACTGACGGCCAAATGCTGTGTGTGTGTGCGTGCCTGTGTGTGTCAGTGTGTTTGTGTGTAGTTTGTGTCAGCAGCGAAGGAAATAGAACAGTTTAACTTCCGGACTATCGCCTTTAAATGAAAATCATCGGAAGTGCAAAATTTGAACATATTTTATTCAAACATTGGACTACTTGACTGACATTGACAGACGGGCGATTAAATAGTATCCACAAGCGCTGTCATGGTTTTGCCCCGGAAGACTCAAGGGAAACCAGGGCAACCACTAAACAGAGGCAAGCAGCTGTCGGCCAAAACAAAAGCTGAAGAGCGTAAATACCCCACAGCGCTAATAGACAAAGAACGCTCAAGCGACGACACCGTATGATGTTGCGTGCGTAAGTTCATGCGGCCCCTGAATGCTGGCACTTCATTGTCAGAAGCGGCGCTTGGTCGCCCTTCAATGCTGCAAGCGGCAGTTTGTTACCCTTCACTGTTAGAAGCGGCGGTTGTTATCACTTCACTGTCAGAAGCGGGCACCAGCACCGAGCACCGGCACGCCAGCTCACGGCGCCCAGCACCAACACCAGCACCCAGCCCAGACCCAGCGCCCACCACCCTGTGTCCACCATGCACGCAGCAGTCTTCACCACGCGCACTGCCAGCTCACACCACCGGCACCGGCGCCCGGTGTCTCCACCACGCACACTGCCAGCGCCCAGCACCGGCACCGTGTCTCCACCACGCGCACAGCCAGCTCACAGCACTCAGCACCAGCACCCAGCACTGTCTCGAAAGCGTGCGCAGCCAGCTCATTGTCGTTTGAAATAATTATAGGACCGGATAACCCCACATGGGAACAACTTCGAAAGATTGAAGCTGCAGACATAAAGTGCTGAAGAGTGAGCATGGGGAAGAGACAGGCGAGACAAATAGAATGCGTAAGGGTCGGTGTGTGTAGGTGAGGTGCGCGTTTGATTGTGGGTGCTTGTCCGTGAGTGTGTATGAGTGTGTGGGTGGATGTATGCTGTATGACGCTTGTGTGCATGTAGGTGTTTGTAAGGTGTGTGTTTGTGTGTATGTGTCTGTTCATCAGGGTGTATCGTGTGTATCCGTTTGTGTGTATCTCGTCAGAGAGTCGGTCGTCGGAGACGAACTGGTCCAAGTGTCCTGAGCAGGAAGATGCAATGCATACTGGTCATATCGATTCATATGGTTGACTCATACGGTTGACTCTACGTAGCTTTGAGCTCCCGCGAACGAGCGCAGGCAACGACCTCGGAGGCGACTAGAGAAGACAAGATCCCAAATGCACCGAAAGACACCAGGTGTACAAACCACGAAAATTATCTGCAGGCGGAAGCATGTTTTTCTTGCAACACGTACTTATCCCATGGTCATCTAGTGACGGCCATCACGCTGTTGAAAAAACATGTCTGAAATCGGCAAGTCGCATCAATCAGACAGAAGCAAAATTATACACAGATTCCAAAGTTTCATCTCTTCCTTCTGTAGCGATGGCCGTGGCGCCTTCCATAGACGCATCTGAAAGCTGCAAGTCGCATCAATCAGAAAGAAGGCGTGAGCACATCCACATCATCCAACAGTAACAGGTCATGCCAATCAAAGACATACATTTCAAACATGCTTGGGATCATATCACCAAAACGAACGATGTGCGCTCACGGTCTGTCTATGCATCTGAAATCAGCAAGACGCCTCAATCAGAAAGAAGGCGTGAGCACATCTACGTCAT